AATCTTGAAAACTTGTCATTAATGGAATGGATTTCTAACCCAGTGAGATGCATGACAAATAGGAAATAGAGGTTTATGCTAGTGTTGGGTTCCTTGCAATTTAGTTTCTTTAGTTGTATATTTTTGGATACACATGTTGATGTTTTATGGGTTTGAGTACCCCTTGTACTCAGTTAATATTATGATATTTCTTTTGCTTTTCAAAAAAAAAATCAGCCATAGAATGAAGTATTAAAAGCATGATATCATCCTATAAAAAATTAATGAATGGCTAAATGAATTGATGCCAACTTAACCCAACTCCGAAACAGTTGAGGAAGAAAACATTGTAATATTCAGAATAAATGAGGATGTACTTTATGCATTAATATACAGACTGCTAACATACAGAGACTAGCCAAATGACTGGTAAAAAAACTGACCATAAGAAGTGATGACCATAGAAAGAACAGGCCCGTGGTGAGCTTGCCACGAGAATCCCTCCTTGAAGGAACCAGTTCCGGAATACATCCTCCAGCACCTAACCCTCCCATCTCTATGACCACTCCAGACCAGCCCACTACCCTCATCCCCCACCATACACATCACTGCCGCAGAAGCCGATGGCAATGTCGACGACACCTCCTTAAACAGCGTAGGGATGTCAACGGGGCCGCGCGGGGCTGGGGAGTTCCTCCCCATCCTTCGCGGGGACGGGGATCCCCACGGGGATTTTTGACGGGGGTAGATTTTACCCCTCGTTCCCGTTCCCCATGGGGATCCCCATTCCACACCAATTAATATTAAATTATAAATTTTTTTATCTTTTACATATAATTAATTAATATTCAATTATAATGAATAAAATTCTAAAAATTCTAAAAATTCAAATACAATTAACTAAAATTTTTAAATATAAATAAAAATCAATTCAACATATATAAATAACTAAACCATTAATTAACAAATTTGTTCCAAATATAAATAAAGATTAATCCAAGCTAAACTAAAACATAAACAAAAATTAAACCAACAATGGAGGGAAAGGTGAAAATGAAAATTGAGAAATGAATTAGGGCTAAAGTTAAATGTAAGTAGGGGAATGAATTGGGTTAATTTTTATGGATTGGGTTGGGTTAGGTAAAATTAGGTTAAGTTTAATTTTGATTGAATTGAGTTTGAACTTTAGTTTGGGTTTGTGTTTGAGTTTGGATTTGGGTTTGAGTTTGGATTTGGGTTTGAGTTTAAAAGATAAATTAAATTTAAAATAAAATTAATTTATATTTATTTTAATTTTTACAGAGATGGGGATCCCTGCAGGACCTCACATGGTGGGAAAAATTCCCCACAAAATTTTACGGGTGAAAATGCTCCCCATCCCCGTCCCATGAGAAGGAATATTCCTCTTCATCCCGTCCCCGTGACAGGGATCCCTGTGGAGCCCCGTGAGAATCGGGAAAAAATTACCATCCCTAAAACAGCGCTGCATCTTCCTCCTCACCCTCAGCACTTTCCCGTACAAATCTCTAAAATCCCAAACCCTCACAGCACCATTCTCACTTCCCGCCCATAGCTGACGCTCAGCAGTCACAACCGTCTTCAAAAACCTCCCAATCTGAGCCCCCCTAAGCGGATGCGGCCGGACTTCAAGACTCGGAGGCCTCTTAGGATGCATGGCGCGCCGATCTGGCAGTCTGAAAATCCCCTGACCCCCACCCTTCCCAACAAACTCCGGCAAGGATCCAGGACGGAGAAATACATCTTCCAAAGGATTGTCCGAGTTGGAATATATAGGAAGAGGTGAGCTTGCGGTCGAGGAATTGGATCATGCAATGGAGACGGCGGTTGGTGGAGTGGAGGGAGGGGCGGGATTCGTCGTCATCGGAGGAAGAAGAGGAGTAACGGTCGAAGAATCGCGGCGGTGGAACGTGGTCGTCGGAGTCCATCGGAAGCTGGAATCTAGGTGAAGGAGGCGAAATGGGGGATTTTCATGTGTGTTTTTTTCAGACAAGGGAAGAGGAATCGTCGGACTGTTGGATTAGTAGCAGCTGTCACGTCCGTCCGTCGGGATCTAAAATTATCGTTTGCGCCTAACGGTATACGTGGCATCGGGGCCCAGCTGCCGTAATAGAGTGGAGGGGAAACGAGTCAACTCGCCGGCCAACTAATTGCAATGAGTTGACTACGGGTTTTTACCAAAAAAATAAAAAAAGAGTTGACTACAGGTGCCGGTTTTTTTTTTTTTTTTTTTTACATGAATAATGGTTGCTAGTTAGGTTAGAAATTGTTAATAATTAATGATTCGATCTCTAAAATAAGTGATCTCTCACTCTATCATAAAAGTGCACAACCCATCGGATCTCATGGTAGAGTTCTACGTGTGCCGATTTTAAATAAGAAAAACGTTAGTGTTTGGTTTGGAACATTCCCAATAGATGGACCATAAATTGCAAATGCCAACTTTTTTCTCAATTAAAAAAAAAAAAATGTCAATGCCAACTCAAAAATGGGTCTAGGTGTTTCGCATCCACTATTTTCAAAAAGAAGCATGTGTTTTAGAGCTCATTATGCCCAAATTGCAAACATCTTAACAGTGAAATTTGTCATTGGTTTCAATAATCTAAATAGGAATGCTAAAATACTTTAACATTTCATTGTATTAATTATGAGGGTTAATGTTTTGTAGTTTATGCAAAACAACATGTAGAATATTTTTTCATTTCAAGAAATTATTTCGAGCTTAGAAGTCATTTTTGCTAAAAAAATCATATACCTACCTTGGATTGTCAGTTAGGTTTTGGAGAAAGAAGAGTACCATACGCATTTGAAACCTTTTTAGCCCTCCTCAATTTTTTTTTTCCTTTTTTCCTCTTTTATAAATTTAAATACTCGTTAAAAGAAAATTTTTAAAAAGTTTTAATTTCACACTAGCTTACTCAAAATGTGTGAGAGAGAAAATTACTAACAAATAAGTTTATTTATAAATTCTATCAAACATACCATCAATTTTTATAGATCCATATTGTTTTATCTTTTATAATTGCACCTTTAATTACTCATTATTTCTAATATTATATGAATAATAACATTTCTTTAACTGTTTGATGGGTTATATATCATATAAGAGTAGACAGATATTTTATTTTTTTAAATTCTTCCTCATTTGACTTAAGATTTAAAATTTAAATATTTAAATTAAAATTTCAATTCTTAAATTTTTAATTAGTTGAGCCATGTTTTGAGGGCATATTAATAACAACATTTTAGGTATAACCATGTTGTTAAAAATTATCATTTTCTTTTTACGATTTTTCAAATTTAAGAAATACAAAATTACTTTTAAGCAATTTTTCAAAAAAAAAAAAAAGAAAAAGAAAAAAGAAAAAGAATATGCCAAACGACCCCTTAAACAAATTAGACAAGCCCAGCTCGAGTGACTTGATGGGTCGACTCATTAACACCCCAATTATTAATGATTTTTTAATACTCTTCAAAAGGCTAGGAGTAGGAGATCAGTTAATTTGGATTTTGGGCTTTAAATTCTTGTTGCCCACCTATTGTTGGAGCCTGAGATTGGGGTTTGGCCCGTCTGTGGGGTTATTGGAATTGGGCCTCAAGGTTATAATTAAGGTCCTAGTCCTTCTCTCTTCTAACGGTCAAAAAACCAATGGTTATTTACAGCCATAAGGCTGAATCTGAGGCTGTTATAATAGGGCCGTTGGTTGGATTAATTCCCTTATTTATGTTGGTTAACCGCTATTAACAGCTATTATAAAAGGTCCTTTAATGGCTTAAACCCAATTTCGTAATTTCTCTCAAAATTTTGGGAGAGTTTGATGTTTTACTATTTAAATTATATCATATTATAAAACAATAATTATTAGATGAAGAGTTCTCTTCCAATATCAAGCACCCTCTCAATTTAATAATTAATATTTTATAATTTAGTAAAATTTAATTTACGAAATACTTTTTTTGATTTTGTTATCACCTAAATAAAATCAAATAATTTGAACTTATTGCAACTATAGCATTTTTTTTATTTACAATCAATGTATTTTTTTGGTTAATTTTCATTTATTTTAAGACTACTTTCTGTTTATTAATCTTAAAAATATAGCTCCACATCTATCTAATAAAAAGTTCAAGAAAATTTCCCTCAAAAAAAAAAAAGTTCAAGAAAATTAACTACTAGCCTGGTAGCCCTAAAATTTGAAAATTTGCACATGACCTACAATGCTATTCTTAAGGTTGTATTTATAATATAATAAATTTCCCCATGACCTACTGCATCTATAGTTGACGTTACCCCTAATCACTTTAAAGCCAACCAATGGGTT